CCCCCCCACACACCCCCCCCCCCCCCCCCCCCCCACAAAAAAAAAACAGAAGAGAGAGAGAGAGTAGCATATTCCCCTCTTCACTATTTACCAGTTTTCTGCTAGACTCTTTGGCCCCAATAAAGGAAAGGGAAGAACTGGGCATCAATCAACCACTTAAAGAGGAACAAAACATAACTTCATTGGGGAGATTATCAAAAAACAAGGTTAAGACACTGGACACAAAAAACTGCCCGCAGCAAAAACAATAATGCAAATAAAATATTGACAATAATTTTAGTCTTAAGAGCACCCTCTGTGGGTTCTCAACTCTAACTACTCTAAAATTCTTCCATTTAAAATGATTTCCTTAAATAATAACTTTCTAATATATTTGATATCTGCATTTCTACTTGCTAGTTTTGGCAGACAGAAGCAGCAAGCTTGAGGCAACAGCTTCAGTACTTACAAGAATGCCACAGGTAAAACATAAATAAATTAACACTATTAGTTGCATAAATGTACCAGACCCGAGCCAGAGATATAGAATCTAGCTTGTTATATCATCAGATTTGATTCCAGTAAAGAGATGTGTACTGTAAACTGACCAAGTAACGGGATATCAACCATTGATTCAAAGCAGGTTAAGATTACAAGGTACTTTATTTCAAATCAATAGTTGATATGTCTTTACTTTCTCTCTTTACACATTTCCTCACTTTCCAAGATCCAAATCATACATCATTACCTTTGGGGAGAAAAAGATTAATGAGGCCAAAAAATAGGAAAAAGATAAGGCAAATTTTATCCATCCACCTCTCCCAGCCTCCATTAAAACATCCAAAAAGGGAAAATGATATCCTTCTTTGCTTCTTTTTCTTTCCAAGTATTTCCAGAGAATGAAATTAAAATATATTAAAAAGTAGTTATATATTTGTTATTTATTATTTAGTCAATGTCAAGACCCCATGGTTGTATGAAATGGAGAATATGTTACAAGACCCAAAAGTTTGATTCTATGGCAAATTACTGGTTATAATTCTAGAAAATATTTACCGATAATTCTAGAAAGTTGTAAATTGCGCAGCTAGCTTCTTATACATAAATATAGCAATGCTAAAAAAATTATGCTTTTTGTGTTAAGAAATAAACCCACTTAAAATGGGAAAGCATTTCATATTTTTCTTTCGTCAAAAGCAGGCAATTAATGGGTGAAGAACTTTCGGGTTTGGGTATTAAAGAACTACAAAATCTGGAAAACCAACTGGAGATGAGTTTAAAAGGTGTTCGCATGAAAAAGGTATGATGGGTCAGTTCTAATTAAATCCCTTCCCTTTAAGATTCCATCCTTTTGATGCCAATTCATAACTTACATTAACATCTATTTCCCCTGCAGGATCAAATTTTAACTAACGAGATTAAAGAACTCCGCCAAAAGGTTACAGGAGTCTGGTTTTGTTCTTGCCAAGATTAACTAAGGTTTTCCCACAAAATTCTGACCAATTTTCATGA